TCCTTAGTTGCTTGGATCGATAAGCATGTATCGCGTAGTCCCTTTGCATTTTGGCTTGTTGGCCTCAAGTGTGTGATTGTGTGGTATGCATTACTTGTGTCATTTTCAGTGGTTTGGGATCAATTGCCATGCTATTCTCAGTCCTCATAACATGCTTGCATGCTTGCCTTTTGATGCTTCTTTGATGCTTTAAAAGCTTGTGTTGAATGCTCCATGTTTGGTCCCTTTTGCATGCTTCCATTTTTAGGATACTTGGATGCCATCTAAGTGTTCCCTTAGCATTGTTTTAGGTCTGCCTTGAACATGTTTTAAGTCTTCTTGGCCTTGTGAGGCTTGGTTGCTTGGCCATGGTTTAAGTCTCCTTGCCTTGCCTAAAGTATTTGGACCAATTGCATGTTTTGTTTGTCTCGTTTGCTTGGTTTAGCACCATCATTAACCTGATTTTCAAAGCTCGTGTGCATGCCATATGTCCATGTTTGCATCCTCCTAAGTGTGCTTGGGAATTGTCTCTTTATGCTTGAATGTTGGTCCATGTGGTCATGCATGTTTGTATGCCAATTAGTCCTCATTCCTCAGCATCTTGGCCACTGTTCTGGGCCTAGTATAGGGCTGCCCAAATTAGTTTAAGTCCACTCTTTACATGTTGTTACATGTCTTACTCTTTTGCATGCTTTGATTGCATCATGTATTGCATGTCCACTAGCTTGCATACTTGTTCATTGTTGCTTGTTTGCATTGCCATGATGCATACTAGCTCCCATGCTTAGGATTGCATTGCACTAGCATGCATGCCTTGTCCCTGACCTAGTGATAGGGATTGGGCCTTTGATTGTTTGTATGCATTACATTTGACATCAAAATATGCATGCTTAGTTCTTTGGGCCATCACGCATTGAAATGCGCGATTGATGGTCCGAGAACCAAGGACCATGTCCCTTTGAGTCATAAACATGATAAGGGATGTGATTGGTGCATACATTGCTTGAATTACTTTACCATGCAAAGCTCTGTCCTCTGCTCCTATCAAACAGTTTCTATAGGAACTTTTTGCCGATCGACTGCATGTAGTGCCGACCGGCAATCCATCGGTTGCCGATGGATTTATTTTTGGCCGATGACCACCAAATCGCAGCCGGTGATGATTCCCTCCAGCCGGTGGCATTCCCCAGTGTCCAGAGAAGCAATTCTAAGACTTTGGCAGTCTTAGAGGGCAGAGAAGGGAAAACAGAGGCAGCCTACGCATGGCAGTGGACTTCCGAGCAAGACCCGAGCCGCGTGCGTTGAGCCCTCTTCCGAGGCCCTTTTTCTTGCTGTCTTAAATTAATTAATTTGTTTTAATTAATTTAGTTGGTCTGTAATAATTAATTAGCTAGGATAGTTAATTCATTATTCGAATTGTATTATTCTTTGGACCTCCGAGTGAGGGGCAATTGTGTAATAAGTGTGCGTGAGTGTGTGTATGTCTTCCAACCCCACGTCTTTCTTCCCTTTTATTTACCCGCTTATGATGGTAGACTAGGGCATATTTAAATTAGTATACCTTATGCTTAGCATGCGTGCATCCATACATTTGTCTTACATGCACCGGGCTCGGCGCATCATACTAACTGCATAAGTATTTCAAATCTAACTTGAATACATGCTACTTGTGCATTTTCACATGTCATTTATAGACTAGCCGAGCCTACTCTAGTGACATTCCGTATGCGTTGCATTAGGCATTTAAACATGGACTTGGATCATGCATTGATTGCTAACGAGTTCTTTGTTTTGGCACGGAGTACGATGTAAGTATCTATGCTTTAGCATCTCGCATGAGTGTGAATGTTAACATGACAACATGATTACCATGATGCTAGCTGCTTATGTGATATAACTGCTTAAATGCCTGTGGATGAAGGTTGGATTGTTTGAGTTGGAACAGCTCATTGAAATCCGTGTTTTAGCCTACTTGTGAGTAGCAAAATTCAAATCGTTTTCCAACAAACGGATATGTAATGTTTTGTTCCAATCTAGGCGATTTGGTCTATACTTGCTTGCTGTGCGCATAACATAGTAATTCTAGGCTAATAACCGAAATAAGAACACATAACGTTTTCAAAATTGGATATCACGGTTAGTAGAGCCCGATCTATGATCGGGCGAGAGGGGGTGCTCATAGCTGACCTTCCCTAATCGTACCCAAGCTCCCGAGCCGAGGCAACTTTGGTGATGACGGACACGTGCCCTTTGGCACCGAGTTAGGATTTCCTAAATTCCCCATAAAAAATATTTAGGTGGCGACTCTATATCTGGCAAAGCAGTCCATGTTTGGCACTTTTTTTCTAAAAATCTGTTTTCTCAAAACGATTTTGG